CAAAATTTATTTTAAAAAGTCCTTCCAAGTAAAGAGCCATGAAATACACAGTGCTAAGAAAACCCATCTCATTATGTCCAAGTGAAAACTATTATTTGACATGTAGCTCTTGGACAAACTAGCTTTCTACCTATTTTTCCCCAAAAGATAAATGCTAGGACATATTAAGCAATATTCCTAACTCAGCCAGGAAGATCAAATTCAGCACAGCACAGAAGTGTGATGCATAGCTCAGGTTTATAGCTTTTTTGTAATGGTGGAAGCCTCTGGATTTATAGGTGTAAGTCATATACTCTTGAGCCTCCCATAGAAAGAATCCTCCATGACTTGTACCTGAAAGCCTCCAGCTATAAGACCTTGGACTACATCTCTAAGCACTGTGCTTGGCTCCCCACTCCCTGTCCCTAAATCATCTCTGAAGGAACAAGGATTAGAATTCCACAAGGCCAAGTTAATTTGCAAGCTAGAAGGGGTAATAAAGATGTATTTGAAAGCCAGTTGGCAAGGCAGGTCTCCCAAGTGAAAAGGCCTTTCAGCATAGGAAAGAAAACTTACCTAGTGTTTTTTTAACCAGACTATGAATTCTCACTACAAATAGAATTACACTCATCCTAATAACTTCAAATCCTTATATGACCTTAGCACCCTAGTGTAAGAAGGAGGGGGTGGAAGGTGGGGAGGAGACCTAAGCATTCCCAGACACTAACAAAGTAGTAGCTTGGCCTGCTGAAAACTATGTGGCACAAATGTGAGCTAAGATCCAAACAGAAGTTCACATTTATCTTTCCACCATTTCAACTAGAATTTCGTACCTAGCTTGTACAAAGCTCTAGGTTATACTCCCAGTATCCCCACCACCACCAAAAAACCCTTTTAAGCATTGTAACACATTTATAATCTCAGCACACAGACACTCAAGCAATTTCACACAGATTTCCAGGCCAGCTTGATGAGACCCTCACTCAAAACCATATATAGGGGATAGGGATGGACCGCACTTGATAAAGTACCTCAACACCCCCAAGCACCAAATCTCATTGCTGTGGTGGCATATACCTAATAGATATACCCTAAGAGATGTAGGGTAGGTGAAGCCAGCAAGACAAGAAGTTAAAGGTCATTCTTCTCTACATACCTGGAGAGATGGCTCAATGGTTAAGAGCACTGTCTGCTCTTGCTCTTCCAAAGGACCCGGATTCAATTACCAGCACCCACATGGTATCTCACTGTCTGTACTCTCTGTAACTGTCAATTCCAAGGGATCTGACACCTTCACACTAATGCACATAAAATAAAATTAAATATAAAAAAATAAACAAGGTCTGGAAAGGACTCAGTAATTAAGAGCACTGTCTACTCTTGCAGAAGACTCAGGTTCAATTCCCAATACTCACGAGGCAGCTCACAACCAACTGTAATTCCTGATCCAACCTATCTTCTCAGTTCGGTGGACACTGCACTCAGTGCACTTACATGCAGGCAAAACACTCATGCAAATAAAATAACAATAAATCTTTTTTAAAGAAAAACAAATAGACAAAAGAGTACAAGGGACAACCATTGGGCTACTGTTTTAACATCTCTTTACTACCACTCCACAGGGCCTCTAAACTAGAGACTCCTTTTTCAGTTATTAAGGTATTATTATATTTATACTTACACTTGGAGTCTCACACACACACCCATCACTAACTGCTTGTCCTTATGCTATACCCTCTGCCTCTTTGGATTTCAGCCAACACTTAACATATGACATTTGCAACACTGTATATACCCACCTCCAAACTGTCCAATTGTCAGTGCTCAAACAATCAGGATGAGTATTCTGTCTCAATGAGGGGGAGGTGTTATAATAGCTAGGAACCCCTGACATGGTGGCAAGGTGAAGGTTATCTATAAAACACTTCTATGTATCTGATACCACAGCAATTCACATACACAAATAAAGACATCAAGAGAGCTGTACTTCCAAAGACAATCTGAAAACTACGTTCTCAAAGGAGCGTTCCGGAAAGGCCAAGCTTTCCAGGCCCTGACGAATGCGTCCTTTCCTTAAGAAATTTCTGGCATTCTTAGCAGCGGAAGGGGGCTTTAATAATGATGAATAGCCAGGGCCAGGGCGTCATTTCTTCTTCCTTGAACATTCCTGAGGTTGCAAGGGGGATTCATTTTTTCTTCCTTGAACATTCCTGAGGTTGCAGGGGGCTTCCTGATACCCAGATGGTGGATGTAACTCTCCAGTGGGTGACATCACAGAAATGAGCTTCGCCTCCGCTCCCAAATTGACAAAGAAAGGAACAAGCAACACCAGCAAGGCTTGGCTGGAATGTCACTCAGTGATAGAGCACTAATAATGAACATAGCAAAAAGTGGAGAAGGGAGAGAAGATAACAATAACAAAACCTCAGCAGGCCACAGTGGCTCACCTACCTCTAAATCCGAATCAACTTAATAGAAAATTAACTATGTAATATTTCAGTGCAGTGAGAATTCCTGAATGCATCAAAGAATATTAACAATTCATGACATCTCTTAGAAACTTCAGGTAGTTCCTGTTTCTGTACTATCAGAATGAAAAAATAGGCTTTAGTGTGTTTTCATTCTTTTCAGTTTTTTTTTTTGGGGGGGGGACATTTATGTATGGGTGCATTTTGCTTGTTTGCTAATGGTAGCAAGATTTCAAGCTGCAAATTGTTATAAATTTACTCTAGTTATGACTCATAATATCATCTTTCAGCAGAGGTCCTGTAGTTTCAGGCATGCATCTGAAATTCTACAAATGATACCCTTCTGGGAAGTTAATGGCCTTTAACTTCAAACCAGATGCAGAGAAAAGTCAGACCTTACCCAGCATCTACTCTGATTGTCAATAAAGCACAGTGCTGAGGAGTCTCAGCTGTCTATTTCCTTTCTCCAACTACAAAAATGCAGCTGAAGCAAGTACTTGTTTGCATTTTACTGTGTAAATAAAGCCTTTTCTCAGAGCCAAGAGCTCATCTCAAAAAGAAAAACAGACCTACATGAAAACACTGGAAATGCCAAGAGCATTCAAACACACCACCAAAAGGCCAGTGTTTTCAAAAAGAATTTTTAAGAAGGCCCAAACTCCAAAAAAAGGTGACACACCATGAGCCTAACGAAGCACATTTATGGGCTCATAATTGGGCACATTTATTTTGTCATACCTGGAGATAGGTGCCAATGGCCTTCAGTGGGTAGAAGCCAAAGAAGCAGCTAAATGGGACTACAGTGCACAGAACAGACCCCCTCAACAGAATGTCAATGGTGCCAAGGTGGAAAAACAGTCACCCTATAGACGGTATCGAGTTACTCAGTATAAATAACACAACAAGAGGGTTCAGTCACAAGCAGATAGCATCTACTGGACAGGAAGCAAGGCATATATTCGCAATTGGAGTCTGACTTTCAAGGTCCTGCCTAGGACTTGCCAGGCTGCTTCTCTAGAGGACCCAGGTTCAATTCCTAGCACCCACCGATGTGGCAGCTCAAGACTGCCTGTAACTCCAGTTCCAGAGGATCCAACACCCTCACACTACCATAAATGCAGGCAAGCCTCCAATGTATATGAAATAAAAATAAGTATTTTTTTAAAGCCACAGATGAGATTCTCCATAGTAGTATACATCTGTAATATTCACACTAACGTGACTGAGGAACTGCAAGTTCAAGGCCAGCTTGTGAAACTAAGACCTTGTCTCGGAAAATAAAAATAAAAATGGGACTATAGATAGCTTAGTGGGAGAAGAGCCTAGCATTGACAAGGATGAGTTCAATCGCAGTGCCAAAAAGAAAAGGGCGTGAGGGCACATGTTGTAGCTCAGTGGTACAGAAGTTGCTTAGCATGTGCCATGCCCTGAGTTTGAGTCCCTGGAATGGCACAATCAAACAAAAAGAATCCAGTTTGGCATAAAGGATTACATGTTGGCTAAATTTATAACAAGGGAGGGGTGATTAGTCTTATTTGCTGTTTGACAGCACTACCATTCTACTTTCCAAATTCATGACCAGAGGGGTGAATTAAGAGTCACCTAATTTCTTCATGCTTTACTGGGGGTGGGAAGATAAGCAAAACTGTAAGTCACCTTCACACTTTCAAATACCTCTAGAAGCCAGAAATATTTACATTTTAAAGGTGACTTTGCCCTTAGGACTGGTAAGATTCTACTCTGCCTATAGAACAGGCCACTAGTTTCTTTTAACCAGAAGACCTGAGAGATTGGCTTGTTGTTTGTTTACACAGGCTTATACACATTTAGTTGGTAAGTATCAAGATGTACTGCACTTTAATAGAATTTCAATTCTAAAGCAACTTACACACAGACACAGGCGTTCACTAATTCCAAGTGAGACTAAATACAGTCTTACTATCGGAACTCAGATTCTATTTTATAAGCACACTGAAAAGTTTCAATAATTGTTGGGCGGTATCCAGAACCCGTGGATGTAGGACAGGAAGCCGAAAGTCAGCAAATTTTGATGAACTCCTAGGAATCGTGAAGCTGGCTGGCAACAGCTTCTAGTGTAGGTTTCAAACTGAAAACCACTGCAGATCAAAAGGGTGACAAACTAGAAGCAAACAAAAGGGGGGGGGGGGAGCTGTGCCCACTCCCTGGATCCTGGGAATTTTTTTTCCCTTCATCTCATGGCAGCCTTGCAGGTGTAGGTCCACCGCTGGACAGGCCAGGAGTTACAGGGGACTGCCAGGCCCTTTCCCAGAGGGGGAGGGGAAGGAGAGCCGGAACAGGAGCCATTGAAACTACCAGCAACATTGGAAGCCGCCCGAGGGCAGCCAGGATGGAACCAGAATCGTACACCTAAGTCTAACTAGAATCCAGTACCCACAGGTTACTTTGGCAGACGCACCCCAGAAATAGAGGCCTCGAAACGGACGCCCCATCTAGCGCCCGGAAACCTCAACAAGCCTTCTGGGAGGGGACTACCTCAGGACTGTCACGGGGCAGACCCCGAGGTGGCCTTACCTTGGTGATAACCAGAGGCTCACCGTGCTCGCGGCCGCCCTTCAGGGTGAAGCCCCATGGAGCGCCACCGCTCAGCTGCACCTCAACCAAGCGGACGCCATCGGCCGCCCGCGCCTCAGCTTCGGCCAGGCGCTCGGGCCGCGCACGGGGCTCGCCGCCCTGCATGACGCGGGGCACTCAGCCCCTCCAGCCACTAAGGCCCACGCCCATGCACTCCGGGAAGCACAAGAGAGCCCACCACCGAGGAGCCTCCCAGGCGTCCGGGCCACCGCCGCCACCACCGCTGGCCACCACTGAACTTGCTTTGCAACTTAGAAAGTGAGTGCAGCGCGGGCTGAGCCAGGAGGGAGCGCGGAAAACGGCACGGGGAGGGGCACGGGGAGGGGGCGGAGCAGGCGCGCTCCTCTCAAGCTTGGGCAGGGGAGGGGGAGGGGCAGGCGGGCTCCTGGGAGCCCTCTCTGGCCGGGGCACGCACGTGGGGTTTCGCACTGACTGTGCTCCAGGTCCAAAAGGGTTTCTCTTGTAAGCTCCGCAGATAGGGGTTTAGGTGCGTGCTCCCGGACTAGCGAAACCTGCTGGAATTGGAAGCAGTCCGGCATGCGGTCCCACGGTCCATCCCACCCAGCTCAATATGCTCTGAGAGGCTTGGGGAGGGTTAGGTGCCGGGTGCAACAGGTGAGGTGGAAGGAGTGTCCTTTCCAGACTAGGCGGGACCTGGAGGCTACCGCAAATAGGTCAGCCCTAGGCCAGCACCAGGGAAGCTGCAGGCCAGCACCTTCCAACTGGAAGTGGAGTTGGCCCAGCACCTCCTCCTTTGATCGGGTGTCCTGAGGACTGACTGACGTCAACTGCTCAGGTGAGGAGGAAGCCCTGGAGTTCCTCTGCCCTGTGAGGCCACACCTTTACTCCAGCTCTGGGACTCTGGAAAAACTGCCCCGAGAGCCATCCGCATGCCAGGACCCTGGGCCACACATAGGCACACCCCAAAGCTCTGGCCCTGAGGTTAATGCTCCAGGCAGCTCCTTGCTGCCTAAGGAAGCTGTACCTGATCCGTTGAGGGCCTTCCCACTCTTTCCAATTACCTTCTGTAGCACCAGCAGGCTTAATAAATGGCATCCTGTTGGCACTTCTTTTTATCACAATTTAGAAAGCCTTTCTTCCATTTAATTCTACAGGTTGGAGGACAGGGAAGCAGGGAGGTGGGGTGGTGGGGGGCGAGAGTTGCCTTTGTGTTTGTCTGAGCACCATGTGTGTGCCAGAGAACAGACCAAAAATAGGATAGACATCAGATCCCCTGGAACTGGAATTACAGATCCTTGTGAGTCACCATATGGGTCCTGGGAAACAAACCCAGTTGAGCTATTTCTCCATCCCCTTGCCACAGGTACTTAAAGTGTGTTCCACTTTATATCCCTAAAAGAGGAACTAGTTGTTTGAAGTTAATGAAAGTTAGCTACTTTTTCCATTCTAACTAATTTATTTATTAATTTTAGAAGTTATCTGTCCTCAAACTCTATGTAGCCACAGATGACTGAATTACTTCCTAATTCTCGTGCCTGCATCTCCCCAAGTGCTGGGATTACAGATGTGAGCCACCATGCCTATTAATTAATACTTTGCTGGTTTTCCATTTCCATGAAACTAGCTCACCTTACAAATGTATACACTTATAGGAGTTTACATATCTTACAAAGGGGGAAACGTTTTTTTTTGTTTGTTTGTTTTTTGTTTTGTTTTGTTTTTTTCATTAATGTTTGTATTTGTAGCTGGAGGTTGTACCCGCTTACCCAAAGCAGTTCCATCCTGAAACTTTAGCACATGGTGGTACTGGGAGGTAACTGCAAGGACAACCAAGAGAACAGTGAACAAGAACATCTTTAGACTCTGACGCTGTAAGCTTGAATAGGGAATCTCAACTCTAGTCAGATTTTTTTTCATGCAGACAGGGATTCTCTGTGTAACCTGACCTGCTAATCATCTTTGTCCTGTTTCACCATTCATGAATATAGGTGTTAGTTGGCTTGGGGTGGTAGTACACCCTTTTACTACCACTAGTCTAGAAGCAGAGGCTGGTGGATCTGTGTGGGTTCGAGGTCAGTGTGGTCTACATACTCAGACCATCTCAAAAACATAAAGGCAAAGCCCTGAAGTTGGTGCTGGTTATTCATTTAGTTTTGGTGTGTGGGGAGTTGGCGGGGTGGGGTGTCATTTGTTTATTTGTTGAGAGAAGTTCTCACTGCTTACTTAACTTTACCTGGTTTGGAATTCACTAGATCATGATGGATTTGAACTCACAGAGATGGTCTGCCTCTGCCTCTAAAGGTGCTATTAAAAATATCTTTAATTACAGATGCCTTTGTGGGCTTGTTTCCATGGGACAGAACCACAGAGAAAGTAGGCTGTGGAGACTATTTCTGTTCAGGAGGGATGTATTCAGAGGGATGAGACTTAGTGGGTGTATATGAGTATGTTGCCTCTCAGGCATCACAAGAAGATGTCACAGTCAGAAACAGGAATTGTCTGATTAATGGGACATATTTCTCTAGAAAAAACAATTAAGAGAAAATGGCAGGTTAAGAAATGTAGGTTCTCGGGCGGTAAGGTAAAGGGAAGGCCTGGCGGATGGAGAAATTGCTGACCCCTGCCCACTTCTGGTGCCCCTCCCCAATCCCTCCCTCTGAAGATCTAGCACTAGCCACGTGAGACCTCGTGGCCTCTGAGGAGGGCGCACCACTCCCATGGAGCCCAGCGCCTTTGCAGCCTAAGGGCTGGGGTTGGGGAGAGGCACAGGCCACATGATGCCCAACCTCCCTCACCAGCCCAGCACCTGACCAGGAAAAGCTGTGAGTTGCCCAGACTGGAGACGGGTCCCTGAGCAAGACCAATGGCCTCCCCGCGCCTGGGAATTTTCTGCTGCCCTACCCGAGATGCAGCCACACAGCTGGTGCTCAGTTTCCAGCCGCGGGTATTCCATGCTTTGTGTCTGGGCAGTGGCTCTCTCAGCCTGCTGTTTTGCCTCCTGCAGCTCCTGCCAGAGCGCCGATCTGTTGGTCACAGGGCGCCTGCAAAGTCCCCGCCGGCCTCAGTCCACATCCTCCGAGCTGCCACCGCCTGCGACTTCCTTGGCTGCCTGGGTAAGGGAACGCAGACAGCTCTTTTGGGAGTTAAGATATGCAGCTCACAGGGTGGAATGTGCAGGGTTCCACACAGTGAGATCTGCCCTCCCTTGAGGATGGTACAGAATTTACTAGTTGGGAACTGCTCTGGCCAAGATGTGTGGTCTCAGAGGGGAGTCCAGGTTTGGGAACAGCTAAGTGCTTTGGGATGTGTGACTGGCCCTTGTGTCCAGAATAGGACTGGATCTATTTACCTAGTGACTGGATAGTACTAGAGAATTCTGCAGAGTGATTGGTAAAATCAGAATCTGTGGAATTTTAACGAAAGTATCTGTTGCATTTGTTAGTGAGCTTATTAGGAAAACCTCAGGTGGTACAGTTACAAACAAAAACAAAACTAAAGCGGGTCCTTGGTTAACTCAGTGAGGAGAAACACGCAACATCATCTATATGCATGCTCTTCCCTGTGTATTTATTTGTTGTTGTATGTTTTTGTTTTGTTTTGTTTTTAATCTGAAAGTGCTGTCTTTTGAGCTGTTTTGAAATCATCAGCACCTTGTGCATACTGGGTAAAAGCTCTACCAAGTCGCTCTATCTCCAGCTCCTGAGGTATATACAAAATGCTAGGTGATGCATGTTCTGTCACACTTTTGTTAAGAATAACACAATACTTTAAAATGTTTTCAATCCCCCACCCCCCAGAGAAGATTAATGGCATGTGAGTGCTGCAAGAATTTACATGAAGTTTTATGGGAATGCAGCACTGTCCAGAATTTGCTGTTTTGAGACCCTCTTAGCTATGGCAGAGTTGAAGGTTGGAAACAGACACCATGGTCCGTCCGCAAAACAATCACAGTTTACTACCTATCCCTTAGCAGAATAAATTTGCCAATATACTCTTTCAACTAGAGCATAATACACTTTGCTGAACTCTGAACTAGACTTTTATTTTATCTGCTTAGTGTGGAAATTGTCCAATATGCATGAAGGTAGTCTATAATTATAAAAAAGTGTCCTGAATCCCTAAATGCCCTTCCCCAGCTTTGCAGACCTTCCTTTTTTTTTTTTTTTTTTTTTTTTTTTTCCTTTTTCTTTTTCCTTCTGGCTGGGTTAATTGGAAGCAAATTCCAGACTTGATGTATTTCTGTTTGATAAGTTCCAGTAAAAAGACTCAGACCTAAAAATTTTGTGCAGCTTAACACCAATGCAACTTTCACTTTAAAATAATTAAAACCATATTCTCAATATCATCAGAAAGTATTCACTTGTTGCCTAAATGAGAGAGAACAGTTAAAATAAGGCCCCAAAACTATCTGCATTTCACCATTTAGTGATGGTGCTGTCCATGTGGGAACTGCAGTTTTCAATCATTCAATCATTTCTGTTTGTCCAGTATTCATTTTCCTGTGTCTTTCACCTTGAAAAGTTCCCTGAATACAGGTGATTGAGTGTACCAAGGCCCAGATCTGATTTATCCCATTGCAAAGAGTCACAAAAATATGATTGTAGACACTGAAGAGTTTGAGTTCAGATAAATACTCTGTAAATCCCAAGCCACTTGCTCACATTTGGAGACTATTTCCTTTCCTTTAGGGATAAATTTTTTTTTAGTGCAGGAATAATTCAATCAAAATGGTGTGTTGTTGATTCTTAAGGAAGTTCTCAGGATAGCTAGCAATAGCAGTTTTGTCCTGTAACCTGAATATTTTGAAATAAAGATGTACCTAAAATATCTTGAGGAGTAACAAGAGAACAGTGTTCTTCAAAACATCATGTACATGAGGTTGTAGACATGAGACAGAAGTCAGGAGAGTGCTAAGGGACTGACTCTTCTTCTGAAAGATATGAAATATGAGTGCTTATATTACAATGTTCCTGGCCCAGTTTTAGTTCTTTGAAGATGGGCTCATTATGTGTCTATAGTGAACTTAGAGAGAGCTAGTGCTGCTAGTGCCTCAATCACAGGCCTGCACAACTATGCTTAGCTCCTCCTATAACTTCTTGAGTTCCAAGGAGAGCTAGATTGCTGACAATTATTAAGTACTTTTCAAAAAGCTATTATTTTTATTAGCTGGCTTGATGATTAGAAGATACAGCTTAAGAATTTAGGAACTAGCAGGGCAATAGTGGCACACACCTTTACTCTCAGCCCACAGGAGGCACAGGCGGGTGGCTCTCTTGAGTTGGAGGCCAGCCTGGTCTACATAAGGATGTCCAGGACAGCCAGGACTACACAGAGAAACCCTGTCTCAAACAACAACACACACACAGGAGTTTAGAAACCACATTAATCCTTCAGTAGTGCATTACTCAACACATGCATATGGTTTTACATGTTATGAAGTGTTACATAGTAGTACATATGCATCTTTCTAGCTCCTTATATGATAAATAATTAGTAATTAACGTGGATATTAAAAGATACATGTGAAGAATACAGATCTGCTGGTGGTGCTGTAATTCCCACTCAACAAATGAGGAACAGTGTTGTTCCTGCTGTGGTTTGACTAGACACTGAAGTGCTTGGGACAGTTCTGACAATAACAATTATCTCAGTTGCTCAGTCTTTAGTTTCCTCTTTATTGTTATACACCAACATGTCTGTTTTTTTCTTTCATCTTTCTTTTGGTCCTTCCTGCTTTTTTGATGTGCACTTATAAAGTTTTTTTTTTCCTTTTTAAAATTTTTATTTGTTTATTTAATCACTTAACAGCCTTATCCCAGCCCCCAGCCCCTCTACTCTCAGTCCACTCCTGTCCCCATGCCCCCTTCTCCCCATTACCCCTTCTACTTCTCAGAGAAGGAAGGGCCCTGAGGGCTACCAACCCACCCTGACATCTCAAGTCACAGCAGGACTAAGTGCATCCTCTCCCACTGAGGCCAGAGAAGGCAGTCCAGCTACGGGAAGGGATCCAAGGCAGGAAACAGAGTCAGAGACAGCCTCTACTCCCATTGTTAGGGGCTCTACATGATGACCAAGCTGCACATCTGCTACATATGTGTAGCTTAGGTCCTTTCCATGGCATGCTTTTTGGTTGGCGGGTCAGTTTCTGTGAGCTCCCATGAACCCAAGTTAGCTTACTCTGTAGGTTTTCTTGTGGTGTCCTTGACCCCTCCCTCCGTCTCCCTTTTTCTTTCCTTCCACTCTTCCACAAGACTCCCCCAGCTTACCTATTGTTTGCTGTGGGTCTCTGCACCTGTTCCTATCAGCTGCTGGGTGGAGCTTCTCAGAAGAGAGTTGTGCTAGGCTCTGGTCTGCAAGCATAGTAGAGTATCATTGTGTCAGGGGTTGGCTTTCTTCCATGGGTGGGTCTCAAGTTGGGCCACTCATAGGTTTGTCATTCTCTCAATCTCCACTTCATCTTCATCCCTACATTTTCTGTACATAAGACAAACTTTGTGTGGAAGGATTTATGGGTGGTTTGGCATCTCCCTCACTCCACTGGAAGTCCTACCTGGCTAAAGAAGATGGCAATAGTCACGCCACAATGCCACCATATTGCTTCATATTTGAATTAAGATTAAACATGTTTTTACTATCTAATTTTCATACAGGAATCATTATCAGGTCCACTGTGTGGGTAGCCTACCCTGATTTTATTGAAAACATCTCCAACGTGACCGGAACGGACATTTGGCCTGCTGCTTTCTGTGTGGGGAGTGCGGTAAGTTACTTCCCTTTGCTCACCCTCTCCCTCTGCTCCTGCTACATGGTGGTCTTCAAAGCAGACACTGGGAGATGTGAGGGATGCAATTCTCAGGTCTTTCCCTGGACCTGAGGACCAGGAGTCAGTGTGGTACCAAATCTACCTGGGATGAGGATGGACACGGAAGTCTGAGAATGACCCCTCCAGTGCCTCAGCCTTCACCTTACACACAAAAATATACCCTCTCCATAATGTGTACATAGCCCCAGTCAAAGCCAGGTACAGAAAAAGACAAAAAGATTGGATGTGGTTTTCCAAATGAAATATATTTAAATATACATTAAATATTTCACATGAAATTTTTGTATAAAGCATTTAATAAATACATATATTTCACACAGAAAAAAATGCTATGCTTTTTGCACTGCACTGCCCCTCACAGAAATGATGCAGAGGGCATGAATGCAGTGTGGAGTCTCACTTCCTCTACAGAATTCCCTGCTTACTCCCATTCATACTCTGAATGGTTTTCTAACTGCATTCCAATGATGCCCAAGTCCCAACCAACTTTACTTTAGTATGGCACATTGATTTTGTGCTACAGCCTGGACACCACTCTTGTCATCTCCTCCTACAGAAGCACCTTCTGAGTCTCTTGGGTCCACACTTTTCCCTTCTCAGAAACAGAGGCTCTACCTTGAACTGCAGAAGTCCTTCCATCATTATAAACTAGGCATCAAGAACCTCTACCTGCTTTTTCTGCAAGCACACTGGAAATAGAGTTCTCATGTCAAATACAACTATGTGGACAGAGAACAAATACATACACATATATGTCTAGGTCAGAACTACCTTGAATTCCAGAAAATATCCTCATGGATTCCTCACGTATGCTGCCAGGCACACCTGTGTTTGCCCCTCCTTTCAGCCATGAGTAGGACACCTCATTAATGCTGCTAGAATCATTGAAGCTGGGATCCTCTTGATTGTAGATGTGGATCCAGCTGTTGTACAGTGCCTGCCTCTGGTGGCTCTTCTGCTATGCAGTTGATGTGTACTTGGTGATCAAGAGATCTGCAGGACTGAGGTATTTATTTACTGGGAATATAAACAGAGGTGTCTTTCCTGATTCTGTAAGTAATATTTGGACATGGTATTTGGCATTCAAAGGTTCTTTGCAGTATGACTCACAGCATGCATTAGTCTGCCAATTGGATTTTCATGCAGAAATATTTATGCCTGTTCATTTTTATAACATTTCTTTTGGATACTTGGCCTCACTGAGTAACCAAGGCTGACCTTGAATCTAAGATCCTCCTGCTTCTGCCTCCTAAGTGTTCAGATTACAGGGGTTTGGCACTATTCCCAGTTGACAGCTCATTTTTATAACATATCAATGGCAAATTCAAAACATCAAGATTCTTGCAACCTTACAAATAAGTTGGGAAATTAAATAGTTAGGGGCTGTTGGAAATTTCAAGTGAAGAACATATGGATTCGAGACCCTGGGTTGAATTCCAGTGGCTAAACCTAAATAGATAGATAGATAGATAGATAGATAGATAGATAGATAGATAGATAGATAGATA